AGTCAATGGTTTGGCTGGATGGTCAGGGACTTGGAAAAAACATGATTGGAAAATTGATGAAAAACAAATCTGATGAGAAGGTTTGTGAATACTGTGGTGCTTTGGTTCACAAACTTAATTCTTTCCACAATTCTGGCTGCAAACCAAATTCTATGAGATCTGTATCAAATTCAATGATTAAGTTCAATGTTGACCTTATGGGGAAATTTGATTTGGTCTTGTCCAATTTGATTTGTGACTAGAATTGTGGAAAGAATTAAGTTCATGAACTGAGGTACCACTTTGATCGCTCTGAACAGAAAAAAAGTTGTGAAAATATTAGTGGCTCGTGAAAATGCTCAGCAAAGGGTGAAATCAGCAGAGGATTTTAATAAGTGGATATGATGATCTGGTCTATGGATCCAGTTACCCTCTCTCCCAGGTGCCCACTGCCATTACCCAATGAGCTCATGAGCAAAGTGGCCATTGTATCTCGGAAGGAGGTTGTGTATGGGCTCAGCGACACAGACTTTAAGTCACCAATGTCATCCTGGCTATGACTGCTGAATGCTCAATCAGCCAACATCAGAGACCAATACCGAGTCTCTAACATGAAACAATCCTCTAGGGTGATGAGGTGGCACTTGGTGGCAAACTGGTTGTGCTGGACCATTTCCATCATGGAAAGGGCAGTGTTTTCTTCTTCCTAAACTGGACATTTGCACTAGATGTGAATTTGCCTTCTCTGAATGCAATCCTTGTGCTGAACTTACCATGTGTGGATTTAGAGAAATTTATCCACTGTCATGGTATATAGAGCATTGCTTCTGACCAAGGAACTCACTTCACAGTGAAAGAATTGTGGCAGTGTGTCCATGCTCATGGATTTTGCCGGTCTTACCATGTTCCCCACCATCCTGAGCCAGCTGGCTGATGAACACCAGAATGGCCTTTGAAGACTCATTTATTTACAGTGCCAGCTAGGTGGCAACGATGTGCAGGGCTGCGACAGGTTTCTCCATAAGACTATGTATGTTCTGTATTCAATATATGGTGTCATTTCTCCCATACCCAGGATTCATGGGTCCAGAAATCAAAGGATAGAAATAGCAGTGCCCCATTAACAAAGTTTTTGTTTCTTATTCCCAAGACTTTATGCTCTGATGGACTGGAGGTCTTAGTTCCAGAGAGAGGAATGATTCCATCAAGAGACACAACAATGATCTCACTGAACTGGAAGTTAAGGCTGCTATCTGGCCATTTTGGGATCCTCATGCCTCTGAGTCACAGGCCGAGGAGGGAGTTAAGGTGTTGGTATGGGCATTTGATCCAGACTATTAAATTGGACTACTGATCCACAGTGAACATAAGAAAAAGAATATATGGAACACATGAGGTCCCTTAGAATATCTTAATATTATTATGCCCTGTAACTAAGGTCAGTGGAAAACTATAAGAGCCCAAAGCAGGCAGGACTACAAATGGCCTAAAACTTTAAGCGTGAAGGTTTAGGTCACTCTACCACTTAAAGAACTATGACCAATCAAGGCACTTGCTAAATGTAAAGAGAATATAGAATAGATAGATGGATAGTAAAAGAAAGTAATTACAATACGAGCTATAGCCACATGACCAGTTATAGAACCAATTACTATATGTGTCATGAATATCTCATTTTGTCATAATGTGATTATATATACACATATAGTAACACATATCGTTGTTTTCTTTCCTCTCTTATTCCCTTGTTACGTAACATAATATATTAACCTTATATCAGTATTTAAGCATCAACTTTGTATCATAATACTTAAGTTACAAGATATCAAGAAGAAAAGCAAAATCACTCAAGGATTTACTTCTCTTCAAAGGAAGTAATTTTTAAGATTATTTTATTAATACATGTTTGCAACACATAATGAATACATTCATTGTGTGAAGTTGGTATATGTACATATTGCATCTTAATCCTTTTTACTTCTCATTCTCCTTCCCATTCTTCCCTCTCCTTCCATCCTAGCTCCCCTAAGGAAAGGATTATTATGGTTTTTGTTGTATATAGGACAGTTGTATCATGTTAGTCAGAATTATGACCTTGGTGTCTTTATTTGGGGATTAAGTGTGGTTTAAAAAGATGTATTTGTGAAGCAACTTAGCAGGTGTACTTGTGATAACTGGTTCAACAAATGAATCAACTTAACAAGGTTAAAGGATGTCCAGATAACTGGTAAAATAGGATTTCTAGGTTTGTCTGTGAAGGTATTTCCAGATGAGATTATCATTTCAATCAGTAGACTAAGTAATGAAGATGAACCTCCCCGATATAGGTGGGCATCATCCAGTGTACTGAGGTCTCAAATCCAAAAGAAAAAGGGAAGTTTCTCTTCATTTTCTCTTCTGGGGCCAGAGCACCTATCTTTTCTTGCCAGGATACCAAAGCCCCAGGTCCTTAGGCCTTTGGACCTGTGAGACTTAGATCAGTGGGCCTCCCAACTCAGTTGTCAGGCCTTTGGCCTTAGAATGAATAGCACCATCAGCTCTCTTGGTGGGCCAGTTTTCAGACAGCATATTCTGGGACTTTTCAGCCTTCATAATTGTGTGGACCAATTCTCATAATAAATCCCTTCTCACATGTTTCTATATACCCTATTGGTTCTGTTTCTTTGGAGAACTCTGACTAGTTTAGTCATATAGCTTGTGAATGCCACAAACAGTTTCAATCCAAATCTATTACCCATCTCTCCCAGACTGCCTCCCCTAAGACAACTGGTGGAATGGACTATAGGACTGAGACAGCTACTCATTGTACACAGCGATAAAAGGAAAGAGGGTCAGAGAAGACTTCCTAAGTGGGTGTTATAAACAATATTTGGACTTAGTGGCATAATAAGCCTAGTACAGTGTTTCTTAATCTGTTTTTCAGTGTTTCTATTTTGAGACATATTTCCCCAATCTCTACATACCATAAAATTTTAATACCATAGTGTAGGGGGCCAGATGTGTCAAAGCCCATGCATCTGAGGGCATCTGAAGGCACCTGAGGACACAATCCTGTCATTTAGCGCACATGCACAATGGAGCTTTGTTGTAAAAAATGAATCAGCATAGGCAACCACGCATGTACCACCACATGACCTGCAAGGTCACCCAGGTGTTTTGTCTCACTATGTCTCAGTAAGCTGATAAAAGAAACTACTATAAGTGCTGCACTGGAAAATAAAGTTTGGTTCCTGCTTTTTTGTGATGTCTTCTCCACATGTGTTCTTTTCTTTGGGAACCTCACCTCCCTTCAGCCCTCTGATCCCAACACACAGATATACTACATATTTGCTTATGTGCTATGGTTCTTTGGAGGGCCACAAATAATTGTAATATTTAAGGTTTTTAAAAGTTCATCCCCTCACTGTGAATCAATTTTCACCTCACTGGAGGCCCTTGTTGAGAATGTATAACCTAGCAAACTCCACTCACCTTGTATGATATACCAATGATTTCACAGAATTACCAAATCACAGTTAAAAATAAGCAATTCTGCAAGAACATGAACAAGTGACCATCCTCCTCTGCTTGGACACTTACAGTACTGGGAAACTACTTCAATAGCAGCCCCATCCAGTTTTGGAGGGTTCTTTACTAGAAAGTTCTCTTTTAGTGTGAGCCCAAATTTGGCATGCCACACTTTTATGCACTAGTCTGAGTTCTACCCTTGTTTGTGAACAAAAGGTACAAAGTCAGGAGCAGTGAAAGGTAGAAATATGTACAATATTTGGCTTCTCTTCCTGGAGCCCAACAGTAATTGTACCTGTTGTAAGTGTGATGGTAATTCTCTTGTGGTCCACTTATTTCAAACCTTGTGTATCTAGCCTTTATACCTCTAATATCATGTAAAATTTCTCTAGCTTTCTGAAGAAGCTACATCACACTAAGTCATCTCACTGTCAAGTACAGTTTCTCAGTATTGAGGTGGTGTTTAGGGATGGTTGAATAATACCAAAGAAAAAGCCATAGAAAATGGATGAGAACATCAGGGTATAATTTTTTTAAAGGCTATCATTTTGGTTTAAAATAACATAATCATTATAGAACTAAAAATACTAATATAGCTACGAAAGATGAATGGGGGGAAAAGAAAGCAGGAGGTGGGTGATAGTGGAATGAGGATAAGCTAAGCTCCCATTCTACACAGTGAGGAGTCATGAAGGTCCTAGAAAAGTGTTAAGCTGAGAGTATAGAGATAAACATAGTTTGAGTTGTGAAAATGGCTATGAAAGTTTAAAACCAGAAGCAGACAAAGGGATGAGTGGAAGATTCTTTCTTTTCTTCCTAAGTTCCTTTAAGTTTAAGCTATCTGATCTCTCAGCAAGTACATACAACAATAATTAAAATTAAAAACAAAGGAATGATGAGGCAGAAAACAGCCACAGCCCAAACTGAATAAGTTACCTTAACCCTGAATTGAAACTTCTCATACATAAAGTGGGAAATGCACTAAGTAGTTTTCAATGCTTGTAAAATAAAATATTTCACAGAATCCCAGCCTATACAACCATCTAATGGAGCTTCTCTGATGAGGAGGTTTAACTCACTGGGATTCTCTATCTTACGCCAGCCCCACCACAGGCAGCCCTGAGACAGCTCAGCAGAGAACCCCAAGAATTTACATTTAAAACCCTTAGTGTACATCACTGATTTTGCAAATTATGGATATAAACCATTAATTTAGTGGCTCAGAACTAATGCAGTACTTTTGGAATTGAGTAGAAGAATCAGAATGCATGCGGCCCTCTGATTGTTTTGCATAACTCCTGTTTCCATTGTGTACGTGTGCACCAAATGAAAGGAGAAAATGTATTTCTTGCTACCAGTCACAATTGAAATGTTTGTTTTAACCCCCCCCCACTCTAACAGCTTTTGATTCCATGACTTCTCTGAATCATCTATCCTCTTTAAGTCTTTTATACACAGAAGACCAAATCCTAATAGAGTTTTTATCTTCTGATAGGAATTCTTCAGATTCTTACCACATATCAGACTGCTGGTTAGTCTGGAGACCTGAGTCCCAACAGGAAGATCCGAGCATACTGAGGCCTTGGGAGGAAGAAGAAAAAAACATAACGGAAAATCTCTTCAGGTGCTTCTGATTTATATTCCTCTTTCCCTCCTCCTACTCTACCACTGGGCCAGGAGTAGAAACCAGCTGGTAATGCAAATAGTAAAAGACACTTGGGAGGAACCTAAATTACCAAGCCTCAATTATTGAAAATAACACCCAATAGTTCTTAATTAGTGAGTTTTTACACAGTAGAAGCCTAAAATGATAATGTCCCAGATAGGTTTCATTTTGATGAATGCAAAATAAATAAAATTTCCTATATTTTAGTACCACAGCTCAGAAAGGCACTATCTTCTTCTTCTTTTTTTTTTTTTTTGGGTATCAAGGATCGAACTCGGGACCTTGCACTTGCAAGACAGGCGGCAGAACCACTGAGCTAAATCCCCTGCCCGGCACTGTGTTCTTATACACAAAAGAAAACCCAGATTCCATAGGGAGAGGAGTAGTTTGGGTCCTCAAGTCCAGGGGGCTTCCTGAGCTTCTTGAAACTACAAAGGTTTGTTTGGATGTGTATATTTTCTTCCAGGATAAAAGGTCAATCACTTTCAACAGTTTTTCAAAGGAATGTGAAATCTAAGAAAGGTTAAAAATCATTGGAGTACAGGACTACATTCATCACAAGCTCAATGAGCACCACTATCTCCAGGTGAAACACATTTTGCCCGTACCTTAATCAATAGAAGGCTTTGTTTTCCTCTTTTGGGAAGGCCTTGCAAAAGTGCACACATCTGCCTTCACTGAGAATTCATCAGTTCAAAGGCCGACAGCCTCAGATGACAGACCGCCAGCACAGGGAGGCCTGGGCATCAGTTACACCTGCTACCAACTGGCAGCGAGCCCCACTCGGCCCGTGAGCACACCCTCCACAGATCGTGGAAGGCTCGACAGGGCAGCAGGGCATGAGGAGAAAATGCAGAGCCACCATTATGACTGAGGATTCTTAGCTGACCATTTCACAAGGTCAGGCTCTATCAAGTTCATACTAAGTCTTCCCTTCTCCTGGTTAAAAAAGCATAGATAGTGCACTAATTTTATTTCTTCTACCTGATAATAATGCTATGACAGAAATGTTTCCATGGTGTAAAACCAACACGTTCATTTTTTTACTACTAAAAACCTCTCATGTTCTGGAAATGTACCTCTCCAGAGTGTGGTCAAAGCATCAGGTAAAAAACGTTTTCTTCCATTTACTAGGACAGTGCACCATCTAACACCTCCTATGGCCAGAACAGGGGCTTACATTTCCAAACATACTCCAAAGGGAGGAAGGCTATCAACAACTATTAGACCCTGAGTGCCTTAAAGGTCTGTACTGTTTTTTCCTTTTGCTTTTGTTTTTGTTTTCTAAGCATGCAATGCAAAATTGCATCTAACACAGGATGGAACTTTGGGAATAATACAGATCTGAATCCTACCTCATTCAACCTCCAAATTTCACTTTCTTTATCTGTAAAATAAAATAATAATATCCATTGCCTTGGTGGCCACAGTGAAATTTTTAAAAAGCAAAAGAGATAAAACCCCCAGCAACTGTAGCTGCTCCATACATGTTGATCACTCACTCTCATCCCTCCTGGCCCCCTCACCTTTCACAGCAGGCTTTTAAATCCCTACTTCCAGGAATGGGGAATTCTTGCTCCTCCACAAAAGTGGAGGATACATCTTATGGGTGCAAATCCCCTCTGAGATATCCTTTATTCCTCTCTAATAACATACACTGTTTCACAACTTCAAATTCATTTCCACACTTGTAGTAAAATAGGCAGAAGGAGGACTCAGGGGTGGCCCAGATACTATGCCAGAAGCAGGATGTGCTGGGAATCAGTCTTAAACAAGAGATTTGACCATATTGGAAAAGCTTGAGGTCTGGTGGCCTCAGTTAAGGTGAACTGGTCTCCACAGCTGCACAATGTACAAAGATTGCATACCCAGCATCTACGAGTCTGTCTGAGGGCAGTAGAGGGCCCGTCTGACAATAGGGTCCCAGGATAGCTACAGGGATGGCATGGGTCCTCATAGTGTGCTGGAACTTAAGTAGAAGCCTGAGTTTCCAAACATGGAGCAGGGTGAAGAGGTCACCATTGGTAGAGTAAAGCACAGGTCAAGCATTGTCTCCTATGGCCCCTCAGGGCACAGTGGCCCTCACTAGGAAGTCACATCAGGTTCTGCACAATAGAGAGGGGAGGTCACACTACATGTCCTCTGGAAATAGAGAGGAAAGATCAAGCTTTATACCACCCACTTACCATATGCCTACAGAAAAGGGAAGGCTAGAGCTCTAGCTAGAGACAGAGGAGGAGGAGAGGGCAAGGTGGGTGGGATGCAGAGAGTAGGAACAGTCTCTCTGCCAGAGCACATTTTCTCCAAGCGAATCTTCTGCAACCATTTTATTGTAAGGAAATTCATGGCCATGGTGGTTGTAGATACTACAGTGAGAAATCAGTAGAAGAGTAAGGAACACATACTATAACACCAGTCGATGAGGGAAAGGGATTCGTGGGAATCTCTGCACGTTCTCTCAATTTTGCTATGTCATCAAAATTGCTCAAAACCCCACAAACCTCTAAACTGGGCATGGTGGCAGACACCTGTAATCCCAGAACTCTGGAAGGCTAAGGCAGGAGGATCACAAGTGCAACCCTAGCCTAGGCAAGACCCAGTGACTTAGCAAGACCCTATCTCAAAATAAAAACATCTGGGACTATAGCTCAATGTGAAGGCCCTGAGCTCAATCCCCAGTATTGGGGAAGGGTTGACAATTCTGTTTTTCAAAAAAAAGTCAACTGACACCCTGGGCTAATCCCCCACTGCCTCAGATGCCCTGCCCTCCCCTGTCTCAGGCCCAGGCTTATCCTTAGATCTGCCTACATCTCCAGTCCAGGTTTCACTAAGTCTGGTAGAAAAACATTCTAAGTCCAAGTGTCTATTCTTGCTTTCCAAAAAGGCATCTGCTGTTCTATCCCAGGTGCATATGCCCAAACTGCTGCATGTCAGGAAGACAGCCATCTCTGGAATAATCAAGAGGAAACCAGAAGATCAAATTAGCTTATGTGGGGTTTAACACGTTCCCGCCAGCTTGAACTACTGGTGGTACATGCGTGATTGTCCCATCATGAGCCTTGTACCACTGGTGGTATGAATGGGCCTAATCATTTTATTGGTCTTTTTACTAATAAAAATTAATACAAAGTCACCTGGTGGGACAACCACGCATGCACCACCAGTGGTTCAAGCCGCCTGGGAGTGAGACATATGAATTGCAGCCCAGTCATTAAGCCTATTTTTTCACTTTTTAAATTAGTATGTATTTGCAGTTCATCCAATTTGCAATCATCTTGGGGAGTGGTTACATATACAAACCACAGTTTCTTTTTTAATCCCTCTCCCATTCCTCTGCCTTCCTCCTCCTCCAATTCCCCTGTCCCATTTTTCACCCTTGTTGATATTATTAATTTTGGCTCATGTTATGGCATATAATGTTTACATTAATTGAGGTTTTCAGGTTCCTGTACATGGCATATCTTTATTCTACTGATTTCCCCTTCCCCTCCTTCTTACCCCTCACACTTTTTTTGCCTTGGACCACTTCCCTATTGCAAGAGATCCATCTCCTTATCCCTTTCTATCCACCCTTTATTACTCTCTTTGTGCTTTGCCTTCAAATAGGAGATACTATATGGTATTTATGTGTGTGTGACTGGTTTATTTCACTCATTACATTTCCCAACTGCATCCATTTTCCTACAAATACCTCAAATATGTCATTCTTTACAGCATTATGTCTTACATATAGGTACCACATTTTCTTTATCCAGTAATCTTTTGATGAGTGTACAGGATGTTTCCAGGATTTAGTTATTATGAGTTGTGCTTCTGTAAACATTAGTATACATGTATTGCTGTAGTGGGATATCTCAAGCTCTTTGGGGAAGATTGTTAAGTCATAGGGAATTTCTAATTTCACTTCTTTGAGAAATCTCCATACTGATTTGCATAATGGTGGTTATACTAGTTTACATTCCTAGCAACAATGAAGGTAGGTTCCTTTTTCACCAGTCTCACCAGCATTTGTTATTGTTTGATTTCTTACTGATTGCCATTTGTTCTGGATGAAGATTGAATCTTAGTGTTGTTTTAATTTGCATTTCTCTGGTGGCCAGAGATATTGAGCATTTTTTCATATATTTGTTAACCATTTGTATTTCTTCCCCTGTGAAGTGTCTGTTCATTTCTCTTGCCCATTTCTTGACTGGATCTTTAATTATAGGTGGCTTAAAATTGTTTTTAGTTCTTTCTGTATCCTAGATATTAGTCCTCTGTCCGAGAAGTAGCTGGCAAAATTTTTTTTGCATCTTGTAGGCTGCGTCTTCACTCTGCTGATTGATTCTTTTGCTGTACAAAAGCTTTTTAGTCTGATATACTCCATTTGTTGATTCTTGGTGTTATTTCTTGTGCAATTGAGGTTCTGTTTAGAAAAATCCTTTGCTACATGTATATCTTCAAGTATTTTACCTATTTTATCTTCCAATAGATTTAATGTTTCTGTTTTAATGTTTAGATCTTTGATCCATTTTTATTTTAATTTTGTATATGGTGAGAGATAAGAGTCCAGTTTTAATCTTCTGCACAGAGATAACCAGTTTTCCCAGCACCACTTGTTGAATACGTTGTCTTTCCTCCAACGTATGCTTTTGGCCCCTTTGTCAAAGATCAAATAGCTGACTGTGTCAGGAGAAGTTTCTGTAACCTCAGTTCTGTTCCATTGATCCATGTATCTGTTTTTGTTCCAGTACCATGCCATTTTTGGGGTTTTTTTGGTTTTTGTTTTTGTTTTGGTACCAGGGATCAAACTCCGGGTCCTTGCGCTTGCAAGGCAAGCGATGGAACCATTGAGCTAAATCCCCGGCCCTCTTTGGGGTTTTTAACATGAAAGGCTGTTGGATTTTGTCAAAAGCCTTTTCTGCATCCATTGATA